ACCTGCGCTTGCGGCCCATGAGATTTTGAATGAATTTCTGAACCTGAGCGTTTCCTCTCATCTTGCTGTATTCACTGGTGAACAGTCCATCTGAGTGCCTCTGGGACCTGTGTCAGGGAAAACACAGTACAACAGCTGTTCCTCCCAGCCATGTGGTGTGGGACTTCTCACAAGACACAGAAATTTCTCTCTTCCCACCATCAAGGAGCACTGTATCCCTCCCTTTCTCCTCTTCTGTCTCCTTTCATCTTGGGCATCTTCTGGATGAGGCCAGTGCTCAGGCTGGCTCTGGAGCTGGAGACAGCTCAACCCCACGGGCATCCCCGTCATTGCTGGGATCCCATCTCCGTGCCGCAGGAGGATGGTTTTGGCTGGTCCTTACCTTTCCTTGAGGCCCATCAGGTGTTTGACTAGCTGCTGCACGTAGGCATTGCTGTTCATCTTGCTGAGCTCACTGTGGAAGAGCCCATCAACATGTCTCTCAGTCCTGGGATGTTAGAAGAGAAAAAAAGAGGTGAAAAGGCATGGTTTTAAGACCAGAGAAGAACGGGCATTTAAAACTGCTCCCTCAAGGAAAGAGGGTCCCAAACAAAGATGGACAAGAATTTGTGTCAATTTGGCAAAGTATCAAAAAAAAGGGCAAATCTTATAGGAGTTTAAAAGAAGTATCTTTGTTAACCGTCACACAGAAAAACTACTTGCACTTGTTTCTTACTGATGTAATCACCTTACCATAAGGATATGGGAATGTGAGGTTAACGCTGATTCAGCACAAAAGAGTAAGATAGGAGACTGGAGAGGTAATAAATCAAACACTCACATACACAAACCTTGAGGAATGGATAGATAACAGTGGTGGTACCACTTGCAGGTGACTGATTGACAAGCCATTAAAAGAAGTACTAAAAACCTCACTGAGGTTCAACCAGAGCTATTAAACTTCAACCAAACTAGCCAGTGGGGAGGACAAAAGGTCTGGGGTCCAGCTTCTGGAGAGACCGTGTGTGTGTGTGTCTGTGTGATGGGGGGGGTGCCAGTAGAGTGCTAGGGAAACCAGGCCAAGCACTGGTTGTGGCCTTGGGAGGGCTGCAGGGGGGTCTCAGCTCTGTTCTCGTCCAGCCTAAGTTCTTTAGTCTCTCTGTGCCTTAATTGCCCCTGCACAAGTGGGAGGAGAGACAAGCCTGCCGAAGTCTTACACACAAGGTTGTGAACTGGTGAACTTACAAGATTGACTATTTTGGGTTATGATTTCACGGGACTAGGCTATTTGAAACAGAAACTTCCATCTCTATCAGCCTGTATAAGTATCTAGCAGGAAAACAGACTCCAGAGTGTCTTTTTTACTGTAGTTTGATCTGTTTGGGGTCCTGACGTTTCTCCTGAATTAAGCCAAATCAATGTTTCTACTCTTAAGCAAGAAAAAACACTTAGAATATTAGCACTCATGTAACTAAATCAATTTAGGGAAGAAAAAAAATCCAACAGCCAAGCAGCTGCAAGTTCTGGAAGGAAGATAAAAGGCTGACTTTATAGCTAGCAGGCTTTCTGAACAAAAAGCCATGGAGAAAAAGGAAGCAGAGGCACAAGAAATGCTTACCTCTCCCGGGATGGAAGAGATGCTGAGAAGTGTGATAGGAAAATCATGGGAATAATTAGTTGCCACAGACCAGTCATCAAGGAAACCATGTTCTCTCCTGAATTAAAGCACAAGGTTTTATGAGCAGCAGAACAAATGACCTCGGTCTTCGTCTGGTACCGTTCAGATGCCACACAGAAGACATTGCTATATAAATAACATCATTATAAATAAATTAGGCAGGAATTCCTGCCAGCAATGATTGTATTTCTTTAAAATACAAAAGATTAACAATTCAAATCATTCATGCTGCCTGTTAGTTGGAAGTTGGTTGTAGCTGTTATCCCACCACCACCACCATGCAGTCCCGGAGCACGGGTCTGAGGTTGGCTGTGTGAGATGATGTTTGTGCTGCAGTTTTGCTGTGAGTCAGTAGAACATGCCTTGAATAGGCAGGCAGGTGTCACCTGAGTTAATCCGTCATGGAATAAACCCCAGTCTACTACAAGTCTCTGAGAGCTGAGCCTTCAGGGAGAGGATTTAAAGCGTCCCTGGAAACTTCCCACACGGACAGCTATTACTATAACTAGACGATGCCCAGGATAAATCTGTTTGGGTTTTTTCAGACAAAATAAAATGGCATGTACCAAATAAAAGTTCATCTACACACAGGAGACGGGAAGGGCTTTTGTGTGTGCCTGTCCTCTAATCCTTCAGGAAGGAAAAAAGAAAGAACAGACATTTCCAGTAGCAGCAGAACTCATATGTTGTTTTCTTACTGAAATAAAAAGAAATGCATATTTTGTTTATCACAAGCCATTGCACGTTTTTCCCTTTTATTTCCAGGCTCTTTTTGCAGCCCTATGCCTGCAGAGGTGTGTCTGCGCCTTTATAAGAGGGTGCTCACATTTCCCCAAGGATTACCATATCTGTGATTTATAATATACCTGCCTTCCTCCTGCAAAGAAGCAAACCGTGCTTTCTTAGTCACTGTCCTGGAAACTCTCAGATAGTCCTCCCACTTTGGTTTTATTTTACTCTGAAACTAGACAGTACAAAGAGCATTAAAGGACTGTCAGAGTTTCCTGAGCAATTTCTAGTGGCCCTTCTGGGACTGTTTGCTACTCTAGAAATACTGCAAGGTGAGAAGAGACAAGAGGAGGAAGGACAAGAGTGAGGGATTTATACAGAAATTTATTCTCTGTTAAGCCACAGCACAAATATTTAATGGGGGTTGCAGAGCAGACAGGTTTTGCATGATGAAGGAACCATAAGCTTCATGTCACACACACTCCTGATGCTTAAGTGTTGTGTTTTCCTGCCTGCTTTGGCTTTGAGGAGGACGGAATAAGTAAAACAAGAAGGACATTTTAAAGATCAGTTTCTTAACTGGAGTCCAAACAAAAGATACTCCACAGTACTGCGTCCCAGCCAAAGGACACGAAAGAGCTGAAAACAGCCACCAAAACCAGAGCACGCCACCCTTCAGGGAAGAGAAGCCTGGATCCTGAGCCTGTCCTTCAGCCTGGGCAATACCTGCCACGCAATGCCTTCGCCCTCGGCCAGGATCTCACCACAGCGTTTTGCCCTTCCTTGTGCCAGCCCTGCGCTGGCATTTGTCTTGGAGCACCACATTTGAGAGTCCATTTTAAACCCCATCCCTAGCTCCAGAGTTTCCCCTCTCTTCATCACTTTTCCAACTGCTAATCAAGTGGATCAACTTGTCTTTTCCCTTTCTGGACGTAATTTTGTCTTCCCTGTGTAGATCATATTTGCTTGCTGAAGTTGATAGGAACAGTAATGGCTATTGGGGAACTTCTCCTGTGTATCAGTAATGATGTATTGCATTGGGTTTTTTTAATCAGTCAGACCTCAGGGAGGAGGTAGATCTTCGGTGTGATCACAGTAGAGCTGTTTACTATTCTTAAGATACTTCCAAGCTTTTTATCGCCCTCCCCAGCGATGCTAGCTTTCAATAAATGCAAACTCCTTAGCTAGCTGGGACCTTTAGATGAAACAAGTGCACACCAAGCCAGCCCAGGACCTGGGAGCGTCTCAGATCTTTCCAACAGACAAATCCTACTGCTGAAATGTCAGATTGCACCTAAAGGCTTTGCCGAATCAAGGCTCCCGTCACCCTGCAGGAGCACTACCGCTAGGAGAGCTTCCAAAAAGGCTGGCACACAGCCAGTTTGCACACCTTGCTCCTGCCCACCCGCTGTGCTCTCCTTAAAACTAAGGACCAAGTATTTCTGGAAGCCATCTGGTCCAGCTGCTGTTTGGGCTCCCTTCTTTCATCTGCTTGCTCCAGAGGAGGAAAATCCCACATATGGCCAGCATTGCTGTTCAGGAGATGGATGGCCTCGTGGCAATAGCTCAGCAAAGCATCACAGGGGCCCGAAATCCGCCACCCAAAAACTGAAAGAGGAGGGAAGGCAGCCCGTCCAGCCCGATCACGTCAGCACAGCGGTACTCACCAAACTGTGGTCACACCAGGCTCTCAGGTGTCTCACAGCTACGATGACCACTGGCCCATTCCTCTCCATGGCCCCCTATAAATCTGCAGCCCTTATCAGAAGCAATTATTTGGGTAAAGATATGAATATGAGTAATCTTGATTAACAGGAAATAATGCATCCAGGATGGAATGTCCTTTTAATTACCCTCTAAACCTGATCAGGTCATTCGCAGCAGTTCAATGGACTGTATTTCTGCTGATGGGTAATAATTCCTGCTTCTGTCTCTAATGACAGTAGTTTGTTGAGCAAACATCCCTGTACCAATTGATTCATTACGGTTGTCATAATTATCTCTCCTCCTGGCTTTAATTACCTCTTGATAGGAGCTTAATCTTCTGTTCTTTTTTAATCCTGGCTTGGGTTTTGTTTGCAATTGCCAAGAACTGTTGGTGAGTGTACGTGTGTACCTGTGATTTGGCTGAACAACATGTCACTTTTTTAGGGCAAACATTGTCTGATCACTAGGATGAGGGGGGCTGACTTTTGCATGAGGGGACAATACTTTTCAAGCTGTGGTCTCACAGCCATCTGGGAAAGGCCTGCTGAGAACAGACTCTATCACAGCCTATTCGAAGAAAGAAGCATACTTATACATGCACAGAAAACGTGCTGAATATACCCTGCCTGCGCTGGGGTTTGGAGCTGGCTGCTCTCAAATACTGCTACTAAAGGTAACGTGGAAATAGGGGGAGAAAACAGATCCTTTCCTTCCTTCTTTATTTTGTATAAAGTATCTTGGAAGGATTAATAATTACAAATAAATCTTTTTTTCTTCTGGCTGGAGAAATAGGAACTATATTATAATTTTTCTTGTCTATCTCTCTTTTTTCCTTTGAAAAAGCAGAAGGCGTCCCCATGACTAGAGGTCTGGGAGGGACCTGGTTTTCCCCGTCATCTTTCCCTTGGAAAATAACCCACACAGCGATGAGCAGCCAGCCTCAGCACTGCTGCATGTGACTGCAGGCTGCAGCCGGAACCCTGCAAAAGGCAGGGGGAGAAACAGGAGTGGAGAGTCTCCCCATTCCAGGACAGGAGGACCAAGAGGTGCCATGGCCACCGCTCGGACAGAGGAGCCCATTTTCTCCTTTGAGACCGCGCAGGTCAGTCCTGCACACGTCCAGGCGTTTTCCACCCATTTTCCTCTCCTTTCTGTAACGACTGCTTTCTTCAGCTGTGTTAGCGGTGTCATTCCTCCTGCAGCCCTCCCACCATCATTCTGATACAACTTTCTGTAGTGTCACGGCCTCGTTCAATGCATTCCCTCTCTATACAACCAGGTGCAGATGCGTTGTGAGTCGCATCCTTCTCCCATGGCAGCTGAAAGCTCTTCTGGGCACCCAGCCCTGCTTTGGGAGCCCCCAGTGACATCTCCAATTCTTGTATTTTTGTTCTTTGCATTGAACTCTTCATATTTTCTGTATTCCTCTGTTATGGCTGCATCGGTGGTGGCCAGCCTCAGCTTGGGCTCATGGTGTTGCCAAACACCTACAACTGAGAAAGACCATATAGGAACATGGCAAGGAGGAAAAAAAGTTTATTAAAAAAAAGGCTAAACAACATATAGGGAGCTAAAAATGACTAAGGTGATTTCCTTTGCTTTGCAAATAACCTCAATGGGTCTGAAATGCCCCCAAGCTCTAGGGGAAACTCAGTTTGCTGTGAGCATCCGAACGGCTCTAGGTAAGAGGCTCACAGAAAAAGCGGCAATGATGAAGTGGCCCCGTGATGGCAGCAGAAGGTGAGGAACAGAAGAGTAAAAGCTCCTGGGAACTGGAAGAACATGAACCAAGTAACCCGAGTTACCTACTTTGCAATAAAAAATGAGGTTTGCCTTGCAGCAACCGTGGCAGAGTGAAAAATTGATGGGGTAGAAAACTGTGTGGCCATGCCCAGCATTGCTGCGATATAATGCAGGTGAGAACCAAGGGCTTGAGCTGAAGTGCAGCTCCTGAGGCCCCTGATGAGGAAATTCGGGACCATGCAAGGAAACTCAAAAGCGTTCGCAAGCTGCAGTTTATACCTGAACAAACTGGAACCCAAACCCAATCCCCAGTCCTGAAACAACACCTGAATCTCCTTTAAGTAGAATTAACATTAAACTGTCATAAGGAGACATTATGGAAACAGGAGTGCTAAACAATACTGCTTAGCAATGTCAGCTGAATGGAGCTTTGTGAATTTGCACCTCGCTTTTCCCATTCTCCATTTGTGTGAGCATTCAAAGTGGGAGTGGAGATTCCCCTTGCCTGCATCCAGCAGGCACAAAGCGTGATTAAATCATCCATTAATATCACTGCAATCTAACCCATCATCTGCAGATAAAAGCTCCCCGTCATTGACTCCAAGAATGACAAAGGAAAAGGAAATTATTGCCCTCATCTGATCCCTGCTCCTTGCACAGCTGTCATACCCGAAGCTGCAAGAAGTCAGAGCTGAACTGATCCTTGCCACCAGCTGCCAGAGACGTCCCTGTTTATGGGACATAACACTGTTTCACAGGATGGATAGCAAAGTGCCGCAAACAGGGACCACTGGGGCCATGCATCAACACTCCTTGAAGAGGGCAGGGAGAGATGCCCAGGAGCGGGAGGGAG